TGCGGTTCTTGAATCGCTGGTTTGGGTTTGCGGTTCTTGAATCGCTGGTTTGGTTTCTCACTCTTTAATTTGTGATTTAGTCGCGGGATTGTTAATTTTAATTTTTTAAAATTCATCAGTAACAGTTGGGACGTCGACTCAACACCAGCATCAGTGTCTGAAGTGGATGAAAGCCGAACCTTTCAGTGGTTAAAGTTTGTTTGTTTGTTTACAGAGGAGCGAGCACAGAGGCCTCGGCTGCAGCTGAAGCCTCGGACCGTTCAAGCGCCGCTCAACCAGGTTGCCAACCCAAACTCTGCCATCTTCGGAGGAGCCAAACCGAGGGAGGAGGCGACACCCCCAGAAAAACCCTAGGAGACTAAGGAGAGGAGAGGAGGTGATCCCTTAAGAAAAACCGTTGGAGAGGAGAGAGGAGAAGAGGTGTTCCCTTAAGAAAAACCATAGGAGACTGAGGAGAGGAGGTGATCCTTAAGAAAAATCTTAGGGAGGAAGGGAGGAGAGGATTAACAAGGACAAGGAAAGAAACATCAGTTAACATTTCTGCCTGACAGACAGCAAGTGGGAGCCACCCTCTTCTTCTCCTCTTTCTTTCTTCTTCTTCCTCCTGTTTGAGTTCAGTTGGAGCAGAATATTTATTCTTTGTGGTAATAAAGGAACTCTGAGGAATAATAATTCTGTAAACACGAACACACTTGTGATTGCATGACCAAACTTTGGGTTTCTTAGCTCCGTCTCCTCAACGTCACACCTCCGCTTACCGTGATGTCATAGCTGCTTCGTAGCCCCGCCCCCTGCTCCTCTGCCTCCGGGTCAAAGGTCGTCTGCCATTTCCTCCAGCAGAAAGAATCCCAGAGGTTAAACCCGGAAAGTTAAGAGGGGGGAGGTATTTTGTAGTAGTTCAGCTGAGGCCACGCCCCCTCACTCTGACTGGTGAAGTCGTAGTTTTCTTACTTTTCTTACTAGCTGATGATGGCGTGCTAACTAGCTGATGATGTCGTGCTAACTAGCTGATGATGTCGTGCTAACTAGCTGATGATGGCGTGCTAACTAGCTGATGATGTCGTGCTAACTAGCTGATGATGTCGTGCAACTAGCTGATGATGTCGTGCAACTAGCTGATGATGTCGTGCTAACTAGCTGATGATGTCGTGCTAACTAGCTGATGATGTCGTGCTAACTAGCTGATGATGTCGTGCAACTAGCTGATGATGTCGTGCTAGCTGATGATGTCGTGCTAACTAGCTGATGATGTCGGGCCGACGACCAGCTGCCGAGGTCGGGCCGACGACCAGCTGCCGACAGCACAGTGATCATGGGAGGGAGGGGGGGGGGGAGACAGAATGTCAGGGACAGGAAGTGATGACAGATAGGATGTAGAAATGATTCTTTGCTGTTATCCTTAATTTTCTTTTGTCTTTTTTTTTCTCAATCTGACCCTGAATGCAGCACTGATTCATCTCAATCAGCAGCCACATCCTCCTCTTCCCCCCCCATCCCCACCAGACGGCGGCGCTCTCATCCCAGTGTCACAGCAGGACAGAAGAAGCTAAAGGTTTTTGTGCTGTTTTGTTTTGTCAGTGTGCATCTTTGTAGAAGCCGACTGTACCAATAAAGTTTTTTTTGTAAAGATTGAAGTTTTGAATGAACTGCAGAAGTCCCAAATTATTATTATTGTTCTGATGATCAATGAAGTTTTTTAGTTAAAGCTGTCATTTCATCCTGTAACTCCTCTGTGGTGGACCTGGTCTGAGCGGATCAGGATCAGGTTCTGGATCTGGATCAGACCTGCGGTCGGTCTTCAGTCTGCGCGGCTTCGTTCTCTGGACGTTTCCTTTCTCCTGTAATAAAGATCAACGGCTGTTTTAACTTTACTTTGTTTTCCTACACTGTTTATGGCAATAAAACTCTCATCATCATGAGTACTGCCTCCTCTTCATTACCATAGGACAGTACTTTATAATGTA